ACCACAATGAGAAGCCCATGCACCACATCAAAGAGTAGACCCCGCTCACTACAACTAGAGAAAACCAGCGCACAGCAATGAAGTCCCAATGCAGCCAAACATAAATAATAAAAAAATAAAAATTGAAAAAATTGGAAAAAAAACAACTAGCCTAATAATTTTTAAAATGGACAAGTATTGCTAAGGATTTGGAGAAATTGGAAACCTCAGACATTGCTGTATGTATTGTATGCTAAATGGTGCCAAACAGTTTGGCAGTTTCTCAAAAAGTTAAACATAGAATTACCATACGACCAAGCAATTCTACTTCTAGGTATATACCCCAGAGAATTAAACACACAGTTTACATAAAAACATGTACACGAAATGTTCATAGCAGCATTATTCATAGTAGCCAAAACAGTAGAAATAACCCAAATATCTACCAGCTGATGAATGGATAAACAAAATGTGGATAGTCAGCCATAAAAAGGAACGAAGTATTGATATATGCTACAACATGGATGAATCTTAAAAACAAAACATTATGCTAACTGAAGGAAACCAGACACAAAAGGCCACATATTGTATGGGTCCATTTATATGAAATGTCCAGAATATGTAAACCCATAGAGACAGATTAGTGTCTCTATTAGAGTAGATCTGTGTTTGCTGGGGATAAGGACACCTTGTGTCCATTTGTATCCCACAGTGAGAGGGGAAGGGACATTTAAGAGAACACTCCAGCTGGAAAGCAATATTTTGCATTCGTTCCAGAAAAACCTGATTGGTTTACCAAAGCAGTCTGCTCTGATGGCTTCTTGTCACTATCAGATGAAGTGTTGCAACACCACACCTTGATTCCAGAGCTAAAAGATCACCAATGCAGGGAAAGCCAAGTTTAGCTAGCTAGCTCTGTTTTACCATGAGTATATATTTACACGTTCTAGTACATAAAAGTTTTATATTTACATTCTTATATTTTTCTTTTGAGCTGTAATGAACTACTATTTTAATTGAAGTAGAGTTGATTTACAATATTGTGTTAGTTTCAGGTGCACAGCAAAGTGATTCATTGTATTATATATAATGACATTTTTCTTCAGATTCTTTTCCATTATAGGTTATTACAAGATATTGAATATACTTCTTCATAAAAATTATTTCTATTATGGTTTATTACCAGATATTGAATATAGTTCCCTGTGCTATACAATAGGACCTTGTTGTTTACCCATTTTTTTATATAACAGTTTGCATCTGCTAGTCCCAAACTCCCAATCCAACCCTCCCCCGACCCCCACCTTGGCAACCACAAATCTGTTCTCTGTCTGTGAGTTCTGTTTCATAGATAAGTTCATTTGTGTCATATTTTAGATTCCATATGTAAGTGATATCATGAGGTATTTGTCTTTATCTTTCTGACTTACTTCATTTAGTATAATAATCTCTAGGTCCATGCATGTAGCCACAAATGGCATTATTTCATTCTTTTTATGGCTGAGTAATATTCCACTATATATGTGTACCACATCTTCTTTATCCATTTATCTGTCAGTGGACATTTAGGTTGTTTCCGTGTCTTGGCTATTGTAAATAGTGCTGCTATGAACATAGGGGTATATCTATATTTTCGAATTATAGTTTTGTCTGGATATATGCCCAGGACTGGGATTGTTGGATCATATGGCAACTCTATTTTTAGTTTTTTTTAGGAACCTCTATACTGTTCTCCATAGTGGCTGCACCAACTTGCATTCCCACCAACAGTGTAGGAGCGTTCCCTTTTCTCCACACCCTCTCCAGTATTTATTTGTAGACTTTTTAATGATGGCCATTGAATATATTTCTTTTTCTTTTTTTCTTGTTTTTGGCTGCATTGGGTCTTCATTGCTGCACATGAGCTTTCTCTAGTTGCGTCGAGCGGGGACTACTCTTTGTTGCGGTGCACGGGCTTCTCACTGCGGTGGCTTCTCTTGTGGAGCATGGGCTCTCGGCACTTGGGCTTCAGTAGTTGTGGTACGTGGGCTCAGTAGTTGTGGCTCGCAGGCTGTAGAGCACAGGCGCAGTAGTTGTGGCACACAGGCTTAATTGCTCCGCAGCATGTGGGATCTTCCCAGACCAGGGATCAAACCCGTGTCCCCTGCATTGGCAGACAGATTCTTAACCACTGTGTCACCAGGGAAGTCCTGATCAACTGATCTATTTGTGAATTGCAACACCATGACAGCAATGAAAATGACATATTTAAGAAGCAAAAGCAGTAACATGCAAATGATGTGGAAATGTGTTAGTCAAGAGGAATGGCATCCTGTTAAGTAGCACTTGTTGGAACTAATGAGAAGACAATTTAAGAATGTAATAGTTCATCACAATGATCAAGAGACTGTCAAGGGGTCAAGTGGTCTGTAAAAAACATCATGGTGGCACCTGCTATATTAGCTTGCTACACTGCCATAGATTGGGCCCATAAGGAGTCCAAATAGATTTAGACAGTTTATTATTTACATAGACAGCAAAAGAAAGATCAGCATGGTATCTGCTACCTGCAGCCCTAGTCCCACAGTATGACACCAAACAGGAGGGGCTGGATGACAGATTACAGGAACTGTGGGGATCGCTGTTGTTGAGGAGCAGGGCAGGGTCAGGAATTGCATGAAACTGAGAGTGAGTGCCCTCTTCAATTTTGCCCACCCTAATCCCTGCCTTGCTGAGGAGCCAACTCTAAACTACTGCCAAGCAAGGCAGGGAGGAGCTGAGTCCTGCCCAGATTAAAGATAAAGAGACGAGATATTTCTCATTCTTGAGGTCAAGGAGACCTTCCCGACTACCCATGCGTAGAAAGACTCCTTGGGGGCCGAAAAGGGAGGGGGCACCACCCCATAATACATGGCGTCAACCTTCCCATAGGCTTCTGCGCTAGAATCCGTCTTGGCTAAGAGGTGCGCACGCACACAGGGGAGGACACTGAGTTTTACCAAATACGGACTCTGAGTCAGGCAAAGCAAGATGATTGGCCAGAGGAAACCCAGAAGAAAGGCCCCATGTAAGTGATTTAAACTACCACAAAGGCGCGACTCTCTCTCTGAGCCCATCCGTGTGTGTCTATTCACATGTACTTTTTCCTCCTAATAAACCTTTTTCTTGTTTCACTAAAAAAAAATAGAATAAAAAAATAATAAACTACTGCCAAGCAGTTTTATAGACTTACAACAGAAATTTGCAGCTGTACCTAAGGGGAGGGAGGTGCAAGGTAGAAAGTTCTGTGTTCAAATGAAACTAGGGAGATAGATGGGAAATGACCTGTGGCTGACTCCAAGGTGTAGATGAGAAAAATGCCTCAAAACGGCTCCACACCATGCTGATCTCCACTTCCTCCAGGAGCAATTTCAGGACTGTTAAGCCTTGCCTACATGACCTTTGTGGAGGTACTCAAAGTTGTTAGGATGGACGGCAGAATTGTTCCCCTAGAGGCTGACATCTGAAAAGACAATACTGAATCTATTGCTTCCTACAGTAAGAGAAAGCTGTGCTGGTCATACATAGTCTCTCAAAGCAGAGCAGACTGTTGATCTTACATATAGTTTTGGGGCAAGGTTGAATTCAGGGATTGGCGAATTTTAGAGGCAGTAGAGATTGATGCCACTTGTAAGAGGCTGGTTGATGTTGAATGTTGGCACTCAGAGGCGTGTGCCCTGGGCTGTTTGTGATTGGCTGGCTATCAAAAGTGAGAGGCTGGGACTTCCCTGGTGGCTCAGTGGTTAAGAATCCGCCTGCCAATTCAGGGGACATGGGTTCGATCCCTGGTCTGGGAAGATCCCACATGCCGCAGAGCAACTAAGCCTGTGCACTCTACTACTGAGCCTGCGCTCTAGAGCCCGCGAACCACAACTACTGAGCCCACGTGCCACAACTACTGAAGCCCAAGTGCCTAGAGCCCGTGCTCCACAACAAGAGAGGCCACCACAGTGAGAAGCCCGTGCACTGCAACAAAGAGCAGCCCCCGCTCAATGCAACTAGAGAAAGCCCACGCGCAGCAACAAAGACCCAACGCAGACAAAAAAAAAAAAAAAAATGAGGGGCTGTCCTTGATAGGTTGTCCTTGACGGATTACATGGGTTCTGACTGCTACTTGTTTTCAGGGCTTCAAGGCAATGGCTACTTTCCTAGGAGTAGGAACCTGGTTTTATTTTCAACAGGTAAAAAAAAAATCTATGAAAATAATCCTTAATCTTTGCTAAAATTGGTGAAACATTAGTGAATAAAACTGCTCCATTGTTTTTTCCTCTGAAACTTCCAGACCGCCTTCTAGCCCCCTGATGGACTGTGGAGACCGCCTGAGGCCAACTGCATCTTTAAAAACTTTGTTCCAGCCTGAACGGAGGCTTTATTTATCTTTGGTCTCCTGCCTACAGCCTAGCACATAATAGGTGCTTAATTGGTGGCTGAAGTATTGGAAATCACAATCTTTAGGAATGGCAGAAGAAGAAAGAAATGGAAGGATTGGGCAGACAGGAAAGTTGAAGGTTTCACTAGGTCGCTGTATGACGGTTCTGTAAATATTTGATATTAGTACCATACCCATTTAGGTGAAATGAATGATTTGTGTATTTTATGTGTTCCAGGTGTGTGTCATATCACATAATTGTGAGGATCCCAGATATCTTTCCCTGTTAAGAAGGATCGTGTAGATGAAAACTGTGATGAGGACACAGCTCTACCAACTTAGGGAACCTAGAACTTGTCCAGAGTAGCCAGCCCCTCTGGGCCAGCGGTTTGCAAATCTCGACTTGCTGGCAATTCTACTCATTTTCCATCGTCCTCCCTGATGTACTTTGTGCTGGGAGCAGGACAAGAGCCAACAAAGAGGAAGAGACGACAAGGATCTGCAGAGCGCGGGGCTGTGGTCCGGGGAAGGAGGAGGTCTGGGATGGATGATGGGCATCGGTACCCGGGAGCGGCCCGGCGGGCGGGAGGCGGTGCCGAACTCACATTGGCCCAGCGGGCGCCCCTCCTCGCTGGGCCGGCACAGCGCCCAGTGAAAGTGATATCGCCCTGGGGCCATGAGCTGAGGCGACCTCGGCGACTGAGGAAACATGGCTGAGTTTACGCGGCTGCAGAACTGCCTGGCGCTGATCCGCCTACGAAACCCGCCTGTCAACGCGCTCAGGTAACGGGCTCGGCCGCCTTCGGCCCGGGGACAGCGAGCAGGGTCTTAGCCGCCTGCCTGCAGTGGAGGCTTTGACTCTCCCCTGCTGGTTTAAACGGAGAGAGACACTGACACGGATTAAACCTGGGCATATGCCAGGGCCTTTTACATTGGGTAGCTCAGTTCCTGTTTGCAGAGAACTCTCTCACTAGTAAGGAAACCGAGGCCCGGAGGCAGACAGATGGCTACGAAGCGGGGGAGCTGGGACGGATCGGGTCTGTCCGTGCTCCCTTCGCGCTGGACTCTTCTGGTTGCTTGCAACTTTGACTTCTCAGGCGTACTTTCTATTCCAAAGGTCTTAGTGCAATGCTGGCTGGACCTTGATCCTTCACTTCCCAACCTCGAGTCCAGGCCACCCTTATAATGTGTGACTAAAATTTTAGGAATCCAACAATAAAGTGGCTTCACACTGCTAAAAATATACATTCCCTTTAATGACAACACAGTGAGTAAAAGAGGATTGTGTCCTGGCCCAGATATGCAAAGGTATATCTCTTGGTCTGTTCTAAACCTCAAGGTCTTAGTGCTTCTGTGAAAGATCCATGTCGGGTTAAGCCCATGTCAGAAGAAGCCTATTAAATAGCATTTTCTGAAAAACTACTGTGGAGTACCTTCCTTGTTAAACTTGTAAAAGCATTACTTTTAAAAGTGAGATTAATGCTGCTCTTTTGAAAGTTAATGACGTTATATAGGTTTGGTTCTTTTATATCTCTGAAAAAAGTATAGTGATACATCAGCCTAGGAAAGAGTCACCCATCCACAGGGAGTAGGATTAGAAGAAATGATAATTTACAGAGAACATATAAAGCATAAAGAGAAAGACTTTTGGTCAAAATCCTTATCACATGATGCTGGAGCAAAAAGAGACTGTAATGAGAAGACATACTAATTTTAACTGAATTTTCATCCTACTATCATCAGATTTGATTTTATCATTAGCACTACTATAATTATTTTAATATAAAATTTTGCATTTAAAAATATAAAAAATCAGAAATAAAATCACTCAAGGATGATAATGTCCACTTACTTGCCACTCAGAAAAAAGCAAAATATTTATTATTTTGGTTTTGATGAAGAAAAACATGGGTAATATGAGTACATATCAGTTTTGAACTTGACTGTATTCCTATTAGAATTACTAAATGTTAGGACTCTGCCTTAACCTCTGCTCATAATGGGAAAATGTGCCCATCTAGAACTTGGGGGAAAAGGTTCCACAGTCTACTACCTATAACTAGGAATATTTTACCATAACTACTTAAAATGTTTCTGTTATTTAACCTGCCCCCTAGCCCCCCTTGCAGGAGAAATGTTAGTATCTACCTCATTAAGTTGTTGTGAGGTTTAAATGTGTTAGAGATTATAAACTGGCACTTAGCAGATGTTAGCTATCATTATTACTATTAGTCAGAAGGCCTGTTACAAGCCCCTACCAGCAGGCCCTGCTGCTCAGGATTCATTGCAGCTGCATCAAGATTTTCTCCACTTGGGAATAAATGCTTTCTTACCCTTTCCCATCTACCTTCTTCTGAACTTATATTTAGGTAGAGGTGTGTGTCCCAGCACATTCATCAAGTTTAACAGGTTCCCAGTTTGTTTTTGTTTTTTTTTGCTTTACACTTTTCTTCTTCCCTTCCTTCCTTTCTCCCTTCCTATTTCTAATTTTATGTAGGAAATTATTTCTTCCTAGCTGAGAGATTCTTATTTGAATATTTTTGGGCCCAAACAAATAGTTCAAATCTTTCCTTGCTTCCTTTAGCCAGCCAGGTTTCCTTCTATTCAGGTGAATGCCAACGCTCTTTACAAGTGTAGGACATGTCTGATTACTAGGCCCATCTCCCAGAACAATGGCTTTCACACTTTTTAAAATTATAATCCACACAGGAATCCATGTTTTACATAGCAACCTAAGATACACACACACATACAAATACATAACTGAAAACAAAGTTTCGTGAAAGTTATTTGTTTTGTTTGATATATTATATTTTCTTTTCTATTTCTTTGTTTGAAGAATGCTGGTCACAAGCCATGGCTTGATTCGCTGACCCCCTGCCTTTAAAAAATTGTCACAAGAAAGACTTCCTATAGTGACAGAAGCTAAAGATCTTTGGTCATCACTCATGAAATGTTACCTTTAGACTCCATTTCTCCATGCCTGACAATATTAAGGGGAGAAAATAATTTCTTAACCCCTGTGACCTTGACATTGCTACGAAGTTGTCCTTTTCACTCAACTAGAATCTAGTAAAGCTATATCTACTACAGCCATTTTCATTTTTCTTTTTTTCCTGTGTTTGATATTTGCAAAATTAGCAAGAACATAAGAAATAAAAGAGTAGGGGTTGGTTGAAATGGGAAAAGCCAGCCTTGTCTCCTCAGTGGCGCAGATTGGGCTCATTTTCCAGCCATCATTTACCCAGAAGGAAATATGTGCCTTTTGGACTTCTCAGTGGTATGGATGGTTCAGAATCAGTTTTCCATTAGCAGATTTGGTTTCTAATTAACTAATTGAAGGCAAGAGGTTTTGTTTGATTTCAGCTGGGTTAAATGGTGGGAAAAAGGTAAAAGGGAATTGCCATAAACAAGGGCAAGTATCTCCTTTATTCCCTGAGGTTTTAACTCAGTTGCTGGTCTGAACAATCTGGCTTTATGGACATTTGTTGTTGTTGTTTGTTTTAAGATTTTTTTCACTCTGTATAAAATGTTCCCCAAATACTTAGAACTCTAAGGCAAAACTGATTGGACTCTAGTTCTATCGTTTTTCCTTTAAGCAATTCCTCACCACTCTTCCCAGTTCTCCTTTATCATCCCTTGGCACTTGTTGATCCTCTGTTTCATGGCAAATTCTCCTCTCTTGGTCTCTGTGACTTTGGGCTCCCTTGGTACTGAATCACTCTGCTGAGCCTCTCCCACCTCTTAGATCATCTAGATCTACCCTCAGCTCTATCTTCTTTTTCTTTGGCAGACTCATTCAATCTTGGCTTTAACTATCTCCTCTGTGGATGACTCCCTCATCTACTGAAATGTGGCAAAGTCTACTACATGCCCTTTCTTTCCCAGACCTTGCCTTTACCACCTAAATTAGTTAGGATTAGGCTTGGCTGCTAGTGACAGAAAACTCAAAATCATGATGGATTAAATAAGGAAAAGTTGATGTCTCTCACAGCAGCGTCCTGGAATGACTGGTATGGCTGGGGCCCCATCATCAGTGATCCCAATTCTGTCTGTCTTTTGCTCCGCCATCCTCAATAAACAGCTTCCACCTCTTGATCCATAATGGCTGCTCCAAATCTAGCCATCATATCTGCATTCCTG